CAGCTGAAGCCGAGTATCGCTCCATGTCCACTCTTACTTGTGAACTTTTGTGGTTGCGAAGCCTATTTTCCACTTTACTAATTACACTTCCACCACTCAAGATCTTTTGTGATAACAAGGCTGCTCTACATATTGCCTCTAATCCTGTTTTTCATGAGCGAACTAAGCACATCGAGCTCGACTGTCATTTTATTCGTGACCACGTGAAGTCTGGTGCCATCAGTCCGTCCTACATGCCTACAACGGAGCAATTGGCGGATATCTTTACTAAAGCTTTGGGAGCTCCTCAATTTCATCATCTTCTTGCCAAGATGGGCATTCTTGATCCCCATGCTCCATCTTGAGGGGGGGTGTTAATATTATTGGACGACCGCATGCATATTAAATTGGTTAAATAATTGTTTTGTTTTATTATTTATCTTATCTGTTGTAACCAGCTGTATAAGCTTACGTATAGGCTTAGAACTCTTTTTTTTGTAAATTCCTTTAGCGTAGAGAGGATCCGAGAATTGTATATAAACCTGTACATCATTCGAGCTAATAACACACAAATTTTACGATCTACGTACTCTTGACTTTAATTAATAATAACAATAACAACAACAACTACTACAATAACAATAACAACAACAATAACAATAATAGCAATATTAACAATAAGTCAATAACAGTAATAAATCATGTTTAACTATTTATATCTGATGTTAATGTTTATGAGCTTGTCAGATCATATGTGAATCTCTCTAGTCTGAGGTGGTCTCAATCTTTTTTATATAATATGCTCTAGATCTTTTGCTCATCTAATCAAAATCTTGTTCATGCGGGCCTGATTCTATGATTTCATATGGCTTGCTTGAAATTTTGTGATGTGATCTAATGAATAAAGTAAGAATAAACAATTAGTTATGTGATTAAAAATTACATCTCTTAAGTGTATGTTTGAAAGATACAAGTATCACCCTTCTAGCTTTTGTAATATTGAAAGAGTCTCTTAAACCTTTTAGTTGTATGTTTGTCATAATAGTTTTGAGAGTTTTTTAAAAGCATAAATCACTCTTGAGAAGTTACACCGAGCAGCTTCTTAAAGAAAGTCTATGATTAAATCTTCACAGGAGTTATCATATCAAAGATGATTAAATCAAACAAATGACTTTTACCAACTAGCTATAGCTTTTATTTTAAACATTTCTCAATCACTAAAAGAAACCATCTATGTCGGTATGTCCGAGTCAAAGGTACCCATGGCAAAGTTATATTACGTGACTATTTAGATAATAGTTAAATAAGGTTATTTGGGTATATTTTGGGAAATAATTTTGATGAATAAATAATATAACAAAGTCATAAAAAATAGCTATGATGTTATAAATGTACTGTTTATAATATTTGATGATTTAGTGATTTAATTATCATTTAAGAATATTAATCATTTTCTAAAATAGAATGAGAACTTTTAGTTGACATATCTAAAAAAGGAAAGTGAGAACATTAGACTAGGAAGAAGTGTCTAAGTGTCTTGGTATGATGACCCCACTATTGCTCTCCAAAAAAAGCTTACATGTTCAACTTTATCCCAATCAAAATTATTGACATTGGGGTGTTTGGCATTTGACTGACAGCGGTTAGTCGATAGGTGATTGTGATGGCTCATAGAAGATAGCTGATAGTATTGGCAGTTTTGATCAGCCTATTGTATTAGCGGTTTGTCAAAAAGTGTTTGACATAAAAGGACATTGATAAAATCAATATAATTTCCAGTGTAACTATGTCAAATTTTTACACGCCAAGTTTCGTCTTATACTCCGTAGTATTTTTAAACGTGTGTTTATCTCAAATATTTGTGTTGAGAGGAGAATGCATTACATTAAAACACATTTTAAAGCTTGGCGAAAAAAAAAACACATTTTAAAGTATTTTTTGTACCGAGTATTGCTTATTTTATTGATATAGATATAAGTAAAACGAGTTAAGGAAAGACAAGCTTTTTCAAATTTGTAACTAATGATATACTCCGTAGACCGTAGTACGTAATAATGTTTTGAATTAGTAAACATTCAGTATAAATCAATTTTTAAACAAAAAAATAACCATGAAAAGCAGTACACATCTAACTTTCAAGTAAAGAAATACGTAGTATAAACTATGAAGCATCAAACTAGAGTATAGGGACGAGAGACAGTTTACGTGAACAAGAAGAATGGGTGTGTTTGACATTTAGCTGTTACCGGATAACGGATTGTATTAGCAGGTTGTCAATAGCAGATTTAGTCAATGGATTTGACTAACGGAATAAGTTGGCGGGTGCTAGAAGATGTTTGATAATTTAGCAGTTTGACCATAAAATAGTGGGAAACGCCATTTTTGAAAACACTAACTCAACTCTCCTGTTTGCAGCGTTTTCATTTCAGTGATTCTGTCCAAAAACACTAGGGCCGAACATCTATTTACATTTTAGTCTTTTCATTTATTGAAAAGACTAAAAGGGGTCAAACTGCTATTTGTTTTTTGATGAAACGTCATTTTCCAAATACCCATCTTTTAAAATATGGGGGCATACTCTAAGCATTCATGGGGTTTGATTAGACTTTGAAATTTGAAATTAAATGGAAAAAGTTAAAACGTCACAAACATTAGCGTTTTCAAAGTTGACTGTTTGGGATGTAAATGCTATTTTAAACAGCCAGTAACCAAACACTTAAATTGGTAGTTTGGCTAAGATTGGTCAAAACAGACAAAAATTGATTGAGAGGTTTGTTACCAACATTATCTCGAACAAATTTGTCCAGGGGCGGATCTAGGATTTCACGTTGGGGTGGGCTGAAAAACTTAATTGATAATACATTGAATTTTTTTCAAAATAAGCAAAAACTCAAATATAAACTTGTCAACAATAGAGTCTACATCTATCTTGAGGGTAATTTCTTTTTAATATAAACTCGTCAACAATAGAGTCTACATTTATACTGAGAGTAAGAAAGTAATCATCCATTTTGTTGCAGAGTGTTGTCTTTTGATGTTTCACGGCAGAAAATGATATTCTACGGTTGCAGTAGAAACAATAAGATGATCATTAAATGGGTCTGTAACTCCATAAAAAAGTCTTATTGAAATCGTCAAAGTGATAATGATGATCAACTGTAGTTTATTTTTGGCAACGACCAACCATATATTTAGAAATTAGAATTCAAGTCCGGTGCATGAATTTATTTTTTTTGAGCAAAACTCATTTACTTTTTCAAGAAAACCTTCACATCCACTTCCGGTCAATTCCTAAAGAATGAGTTGTGAAGTAGAAAGATGTCTCATGGCTACCAAGATATCCAATGATTTTTTGAAGGCCTTGAGAGAGAACATTCGTTATTTCCATAACTTTGTGCATCAAAAGTGAATTGAACACAAATTCAAAACATGGAAAATGTCTATACACACTACGAACTTCTGCCCAAGACCTCACTTTTGTGCAATTAATGTTCTTGAAGATCCTCAAACACTTTACAAGTTGATGTGAACATGCTAATCAAGTTGTTATATTATATACCAAGTGCCATTTATTAAGTTGGAAGTGATGTGTATAACATTTTGATTAGATTTTTAGATGATAAGAATTTGATTTATGGGTTGGGCTGAAAAATTTGATTGGGCTATAGAAATATCTGGGGTGGGCTGGATGGAATTTTATCAAAATAATACCTTAAAAATATTAATTTTTTTTACTTTGCCCTGGGCTTCAGCCCACCATAGCCCTAACATAGATCCTCCCCTGAATTTGTCCATACGCAGGGGCGGAGGTATGTTGTCGGTTAAGGAGGGCATGCCCCCCACCCCCCAATTATGAAAGCAATAAGGCAAGCCTTAAGTCTCTATATTTTAAAATTTTATATTTGAAAGATTTGCCACTATAGTCCTATATTTTTCACCTGAAAGTATATTTTTTGGCAAAAAAATCACATTGCGGCATAATTTGAAGTGAATTATCTGTAGGAAAGTGACCTTTCCTAAAAGTTTACTTAAATTGCAAAAAATTATTCGTTACATGACCAAATTTGTGAGCAAGAGGGTATCGGGACTAAAAAAGAGCACATAGTAAGTTTATGGGACCAAAGTTCCAAAGTTTTCCTTTACATTTTAATATTTGTATCATACTTCGGCCCCTCTTGCAGTGAAGTCTGGCCCCGTCCCTAATCCACAGGTTTAGAAGGATAAAGATAACAAATACTCTATAGTAGTAATAAAAGTTCAAGAGATATCTGTCCAAAAAAAGCCACCCCTCTGTCCCTTAACAAACGGCCTCTAAATCTGATTGCCGTGTTTAATTGTTTATAGGGGCAATTACCAAAATAGGAGTAAAACATAGGATTTGTGCAAAAATAGGATTAGAGTTTTAAAATCCCCAAAATAGGAGTATTTTTTTGTAAATGGACAAGGATACCCTGTCTGTTGCTGCCTGCTGCTACAGTTCCGCCGCCAGCCAGACTTCGCTGGACTGCCGCCGCCAGCCGCCGGAGCTCCGGCGACCACCGCTGGAAAATTTTCCAGATTTTTCTCTTGGAAGTTTCCCAGCAATTCTGCCGCCGAACGTCGCCGGCCGCCGCCACCGCCTCCGAACGGCGCCGCCGCCGGAATCTTCTGCCGCCACCGCCGGACTGCCCCGCTACCAACGGACTGCCTTGGTTGCCCAAGGGAACTAGGGGGGCAATAATGAATTAGAATAAAGGTTTCCGCTGGTCGCCGGAGCTCCACCGCCGGCCGCCGCTGCCTGCTACCGCCACCACCGGACTGCTGCCCCTACCAACACCCTGCCCCGCCACTGACAGACTGCCCCTGTTGCCCAAGGGAACTAGGGGGGCAATAATTAATTACAATAGGGGTAATTAGGGGTAAAAATTAATGTTTAATCCTATTTGAAGAATTTTAATAGTTAACTCCTATTTAGAGAAATGTGCCATGTTTTACTGGAGCCATTTCTCTTGTTTATATTGGTCAGAGGCAAGCCACAAAGGACGGTTGTAGCCCAGGAAGAAGTGAGGCAGGAGAGGGATGGGAGTTTGTTGAAAGGGCAGTTGCCTCCCTCCAACCTGCGCATGATTTCTCCATTCCAATAGCCGAACCACCCTTTCATTTACCTTCGTCGCAAACGCATGCAGTAACTTCAACACTCCCTGTCTTGAAACTGAGGAATGTTATTGTTGTTATTATTATTATTATTATTATTATTATTATTATTAGGATGTTTTTACTTGGAGACTGTAATTTGCTGGTGTTAAGATCTGTTCTCTTCGTCCTGCTTATGTTGTTAGGACTGTGAATCTAGCGGCTGTGATGAAATGGTTTTCTGTGTTTTCTCTTCCTGGGCTGTCTAATTTGAGGCGTTTGGAGAACCGATCCGTATCTTGGCGGGGTAACCCAGAAATGGAACCGGTTGTTGCAGCCATGGCGGTTTCGGCTCTCATTTCCCTCTAAGAACACAGATCTGAGCCTCTAAACAGGAAGTTTCTTTGAAATTCCATTCCTCAAAAAACAGAGTTTTATATAATTTTTTTTATGGAATAGTAGTTTTACTCTTGCAACATGTTTTTTTCTCTGAAATATGTATTTTTTTTTCAATTCCAAACAATGTTTTTTTCCCTTCACATTCTCTCCCAAATATTCCTGAAGTTCATGCTGCAGTGCGGCCTCCATGTTTACTGCATAATGTGCCAGACAAGTTGCTATATATTTGTATGCTCTTCAGAGAACAGTACTAATAATTTTTGTAATACTTATCTGAGATTTAAAAGGGATAAATATATTTCATTTTTTGACTTAAAGCTTATACTCTTCGTAAATCAGTAAACATGCATAGTTCGGACTTAATTTTATATCGGGCTATTTCAGAGGCATCACTTTCTTTTCTACATTACATACACATGGAATCTCTGGATCATTTAACTCCATGTTGCGGTAGTCTGTAGAAGCTTTGCTGTAAAGGTTGGTGGTGATCTTGCAATATCGTCTTTCCTGTATATTCTTTTGCTCTTCTGAGATGTCTTTAATTCTGGTGGCCTAAGGGGCGATGATATCAGCTATTTAGTCCCACCCATTTATTGTTTGGCAATTGATTGGGCATGGCTGATATCCGAGCCGTATCCTACCAGGGCAACACTCAATATCATGAGCATTAATGTTTGCAGCCATGGCGGCGTCACAAATTCCTTTGGCTAATCATAAAGTCTTTAAAAATAGTGTGGTGTAATACTGTAATTGTCTCTAAAAATTCCCACAAGTTGAATATCTGCTATTTGTTTTTAAATTAATCCCTTATGTCTGTCTTGTCGCACCAAAATCTACTCTTAGATTGGTTTGATGTCGTGGATAATGAGGCTTTATTTTGGACTCAGAGAGGTAAATGAGTTTTATGGGTGGTTGCTCCCTCTCTTTGTTGTTTTTAAGCCAATGATTATCCCCAAAAACTATGATCAATGGGAAGCCCAACAACCCTTGCAGATGATGAGATGATGATGAGATGAACTATAGAAGTGATTGAGGAAGCGGTCCAGCCCAGCTGGTCGCCGAGTCGCCGACTCACTCTCCCTTATGGGAGGTCCCGGGTTCAATTTTCAATGGAGTGAAATTGATCACAATTTACCCCAGGCCCCCCAAACCCCCTCCCTCTGATGCCCCCTGGGGTAAAAAAAAAGGAACTATAGAAATGATTAGAGTTGGCTTCACTCCAAATGTAGAAGTACATTGTCTTTTGTGATTGAATAACTTAAACAAGATTCGGAACTCATTTGGTACGTTGGAATTGGTTGGATAGTTTAAAATTTATGAAATTATTTTGGTTGAAAATTGAAATGGCCTAAATTCAGCCTCTAAAGTAGCTACCAAATGGGCTCTTAATTTTTGTTTTAGAGTATTTGACAAGGTTTGAAGTTGAAGTATCAAAGACTTAAGGGAAAAAATCATGGGATGCTTCTTGGGTGTAGTATTTGTTAAATGAATTAGAGTTAGGCTCACTATTTTGTAGAGAATGTAGTAGCACTTTCACCTTGATATGGATTCATCAATTTTTTTGGATAGCTCATTAGTTCATCGAGATTTGGGTTTCTGTTTGGGTTGTTGGCCTCCCTCTGCTGCATTTCATTGATATATGTAGCCAACAATACTCGTGTGTATTACGAGGCTGTGATGATTCCTGGCTACTGATAATGGTGGATTTGGGCAGCTCAATCTGTATCTTGGCAGGGCAATCTGGGATGGCCCGGTTTTTGCAGCCATGGCAGTTTGGGCTTTTCACACTGGCTGCTGAAAACACAGGATCTGAGCCGTTACAAAAGAGTTACCTCTCCCAAATAGGCTCTTAAAGAATTATTACAAACAAGGTGACATGTGTACATGCTCTTTAGAACGCAGTACTAATAGCTTTTGAAATGCTTATCTGAGATTTATAAAGGAGGGAGATGTTTCAAATTTTCAGCTACCTTATAGTCTTCATATATTCATAATTGCTATTTCTGACAATCTCTGGATCATTGAAGTCCATGTTAGGGTAGAAGCTGTCTGTAGAAGCTTTGTTGTCAAGATTGGTGGTGATCTTGCAGTATCATCTTTCATGTATGTTCTTATGCTCTTCTTAAATGTCTTTAGTTCTGCTGGTATAAGGGGCAGTGATATTTAGTCCTACCCATTTATTTTTGACAATTGATTGGGCATGAATGACATTTGACCCGTATCTTGGCTGGGCAACACTCAATCTCATGAGCATTGGTGTTTGCAGCCATGGCGGCGTCAGGAATTCCCTCAGCTAATACTACCTCTATCCCCATAACATTAGTACAAGAGGAGATAGTGTGGTTATCACAAATGTGAGTTTATGTGGTGGATATTGAATTGATTGGTGAGAATAAAGTAAGAATGATTTAAATTTTAAAATAATACATATTACAAAATTTGTTATGTACAATCCTAGTGGGATGCACTACAAGGGAAAGATGAGACAATCTTAGTGGGACAAATGGAGTAATAAATCATCTTTATGAACCTCAATCCTGAAAACCAAAGTGTGTTGTGATTGTCTCTTTACCAAATTCCTACAAGTTTAATACTTGCCAATTGTTTATTTATTCATTCATTCACTTAAGAATGTTTTTCCATACCAAAATCTACAATCAGATTGGCTTGATCACTTTGATGCCGTGGATAATGAGGCTTTATTTGGACCCAGAGAGGTAAATGAGTTTTATGGGTGGTTGCTCCCTCTCTTTGTTGTTTTTTAGCCAATGATTATCCCCGAAAATTGTGAGCAATAAGAAGCTCAACAACCCTTGAGGATGATGAGATGATGATGATGAATTATAGAAAGGATTAGAGTTTGCCTTGCCCCAAATGTAGAACACATTTTTTTAATATTTGGAACAAGTCTGGGTGCTCGTTTTCTACTCATGAAAATTGGTTAAAAAGATTTTTATATGGTAATGCTTTCTAAAAAATGTATACTATTATAATTATAATATTCTAATACAAGCATAAATTTTTATTGTTTTATGTTCTATTATTGTTTTTTATCGAACAACTATTCAAGGCTAAAGGCAGAGATTTAGAAAAGGCAGGAGTACCTAATTTATTTTTAAAGTCATGAGTGCTATATAATTCAATCAAATTAAGTTTTAAAAAATTGTGCTCCCTGTTCAATGTATTTTCATGTTCTCCTTTATACTCCCTCCGTCCCGTTGGGATGTTCCTGGTTTGACCTATACACATATTAAGGAAATAAATTTATCAGGGGTAAAGTTTACTGTTTTGACACTTTTGACACTGTTTCGACACTGTTTGACACTGTTTGGCACTGTTTTGATGTAGGATAACTTTCCATTTAGGGAAAGGGGAAGTTCTTTATGGGACTGCTAAAAAGAGAAAGCGGGAACATCCCTTTTGTGTTTTGCCCCCCTAATCTGCTACTTTTTAATAATATATGTAACCAACAACCCTTGTGTGTATGAGGAGGCTGTGATGATTTCTGGCTACTGATGTTGGTGCATTTGGACAGCTCAATCTGTATCTTGGCAGGGCAATCCGGAATGGCCTGGTTATTGCAGCCATGGCAGTTTGGGCTTTTCACACTGGCTGCTGAAAACACAGAATCTGAGCCTTTACAAAAGAGTTACCACCCCCAAACAGGATCTTAAAGAATTGTCCTAAACAATGGATGAAAGGTCCAACGCTTCCATAACTTTCCCCTCATTCCACCACACCACACAAACTCCCAAACACACCCTTAGAAGCCCAGAGATGGAGTGATGCAGCCTGGGACCGGTTCGGTTTCTAGGCAAAATTAGGCCTGGACTCGGGCCGGGCGGCCCGACCCGGAACCGGCCCGGCCCGGCCACTGTAGCAACCGGCCCGGCCCGGTGGCCCGGTCCACCGGCGGTTCGGGTCAAACCGGCCCGGTGGTTCCCGGTTTCGGGCCCGGGCCTTCCATATGGTGAACCGGCCCGGCCGGTTCGGGCCCGGTCCGGGCCGGAAATAATTTTTTTTTTTTTGAAAATTTTTTATGTTTTGGGTTAGATTAGGTATTTTGGTCCATTTGAGGTGGTTTGGGGTGGTTTGGGGTTGAGAAAGAGGGGTAGGGGATTAAATAAAGAAGCCAAAAAAAAAAAAAAATAGGGCGGGTGGCCCGGAACCGGCCCGGAACCGGCCACCTCCGGTTCGGGCTCGGGCCTCAATATTCTGAACCGAGGCCCGGTCGGGCCCAGGCCCGAGGCCCGAACCGGTCCGGTTCAGTCCAGCCCTAGGCAAAATACGTGGAACCGTTTGAAAATATGAAAATTTACTAACGGTTCGGTTCTTATAAATTATTTTATAGAACCGATAAGGAACCGAACCGTTCTTAACGGTTCGGTTCTTGTCATTTAACGGTTCCTAGTCTTTGAAAAAAATCTTACAAATCATGACTAAATTTTTGCTAAAAAGACATTCAACGTTTGAAATTACAATACAAATATGTTGAACCAGTTAAAGAGAATAATAATTTTAAATAGTTTGGACCTTCCGAGTTCCGACCCGCTGGAGTTTGGACATAATGAGAGGCCTAAGAAGCCTAAGAGAACCGGTTGAAGTGAATAATAGTTTTAAATAGTTAAATAACTAAACTAAAATAATGAGTGTAATATAAAAATAAATAAGTAAATATACATTAAAATATATATACTCATAAGAAATATATTTAATTTTAATAATTATATATAACGGTTCCTTAACGGTTCCTGGTACATATTTTTTTCAGGAACCGAGAACCGAACCGTTAATAAAAAATAGGAACCGAACCGTTAACAAATAACTAATAAATGTTGGAACCGAACCGAACCGGGTCATAACGGTTCGGTTCTCCGGTTCTTGGTTCCAAAGTCCCAGCCCTAGAAGCAGGAGAGGGATGGGAGTTTCTTGAAAGGGCAGTTGCCTCCTCATTTGCAGATGATTTCTCTATTTTCTTTGCCTAACAGCCCTTTCATCTTCTTGCTCGCAAGAAAGAAACTGCAATAACCTAACCCCAGTTGTAACTGAAGGTTATTGTTGCTGATATTATTATCAGTACTCTGTATTAATTAATTACAGTATCATATTTGACCTTTTCCTTTCGTCCTGCTTATTGTTAGAACTGTGAAGAGGCTGTGCTGATATGGTTTTCTGTGTTTCCTCTTTCTGGGCCACTAATTTTGAGGGATTTGAAGGACATGGCCCGTATCTTGGCGGGGCAACCCGGAAATGGAACCGGTTGTTGCAGCCATGGCGGTTCTACTTCCCATCTCCCTCTAGAAACACAGACCTGAGCCTATAAAAAGGAATTTCTTTAAAATTTCTTTAAAAAGCAAAGTTCTATAAAAATTCAGGAGTTATCTCTTTCAGCATTATATGATTTTGTCCAATTTCGATAGATTTGAGTATTACAGTATATGATAAGACTCCGCACCGAGGATTGAACCTGTAACCTCTCAGTTACATTTTTTACACACCGGAAAGGATCCTCTCAGTTACAATGCAACAACTAATATAAGTAAATCCAGAGTATGTTTTATTTTCCTTAACAATTTCTTCACAAATTTCCGCGTTTATTTCCCTACCTATTTTCTTGTCCAAGCATTTTTGGCATTCCAAGCTGACCCTTGAAGTTTATGTTGTGCTAGAAGTTGTCCATGTTATACTGTGCCACATTGATCCACGTAACTGCCACACGGGACTGCTTAGTGCACCACACAAGTTGTAGTATATTTTTATACTCAGAGAAAAAATCTAACCATTTATGAAATACTTCTCTCATTTCTCTGATGTCATTTGCAGATGGCATATCCGGATTCATGTTAGTCAACTCCAAACTCTTCTTGGACTATGGCTTGGATGTTATGTTGTTGTATCCCTTAAAGGATAAGGGGAGTTCATTTTATTGAGCTTGAGATTATCCTCTTCATATATTTATAAGCACTGAATTCACAGTTTGTGCTCCGGTAAAGCCATGTGAACATGTAATCAAGTGTATGTTTCCTATAAATTCTATTATGCTCATATGAGATGCCTTTGGTGCTGGCATAAGGGGAACTGATGATACTTGGCACTACCCATTTATTTTGGGACAATTGATTGGGCATGGATAATATACGATCCGTATCTTGGTGGGGCAACATTCAATGTCATGAGCATTTGATATTTTGATGTTTGCAGCCATGGCGGCATATTAATTTTCTTTTGGCAAACCACCTTTCTGAGCCTCTATTCTGTAAACCAAACGTGGATTGGTTCTGTCTTTGAAAACTCCCAGAAGTTAATTACTTGCAGTTATTCATCCATCCATTCCTTCATTCTTTCAAACTACCCTTTCTTAATCTCTTACCAAAAGAATCTACACTTGGCTTGGCTAGTTGGCTTGATGGTGTGGCCGTGTGGATAATGAAGCTTAATGTGAACTCTTGAGGAGGTAAATGAGTTTTGTGGTAGTTGCTCCCTCCTTTTGTTGTTCTTTTAAATCCCAATGATTATCCCTAAAAACTTTGATTAATGAGCTGCTCAACAACCCTTTAGAATGATAATACAATGAAACAAGGCTTAATTTTTGCTTGATAATATCTGACAAGGGTTCAGCCAATGTTAAAAAATTTGGAGTTGACCTCGAGTACAAATGTATAATGTTACCTGGACCTCGTAGGTTAGCCAGCCCAATATTATTCTAGAGGGCTGTTGATTATTGTTTTGGAAAATGGATAGATAGATGACTAGCGGAGTGTATAGGTCAATTCAAAGAATGAGCTTAGAAAGGTGAGTTTTGTGTTTTTTCTGCAAGGGTGATTGTCCTCACTCTGCTAGCCAATAATATCCTCTACTTTTCAATAATATATCAGGTAACCAACCACCTTAGTTTATATTGGCAGGGCAATCCGGAATTGCTCAGTTATTGCAACCATTGTGGCTTGGGCTTCATATTGCCTGCTGGAGACAGATCTGAGCCTTTATATATGAGTTACCTCTACCAAACAGGTGCGGAAGAATCTACATCTTGAATTATATTTGAGTTTTGTGAATGGATAACGCTATAGGTGATCAGGTTTCCTCTATTTGTTAGGAACATTTTATCCTGACTTGTATGTTGTAGGACAACACACATGTATTTCTCAATCTTCTTCGTCTTATCATAAGTCATAACCTGCTATTCTGTGCCTATGCTATTGAAGTGCATTTAACTTTCCCCACTGCGTTCTTATTCTGTGTATTGTGCATATCATACATGGTTGGATCAGAAAAGAAATATTTCACTTCATAAAAAGGCTTAATACTAACAAAAATGCTCTTTGTACCCACTCTTATATAATTTTTATACTTAAATGTTTGTTCAAGGCTTTTTTAAATGTGCAAATTTTGCACAGACAAAATAACACATTTTTTTTTGTTGAACCAGATTCATAGACATAAAGACCTTCACAAACATGGTGGACATAAGGTGGGTATAAGGGTGAGTGCAAAATAAAAAATCCAGTATGTTACAAAGTCGATTGGAGATCTTTAATGCTTCAATGATCCATGTAGTTTCATGCACTAAAATTTGTCGATTTCAAATGAGTTCTGTAAACCTAAGATTTTGTCAGGTTTTTAAGTGTTCAGATTGGTTTAAATGAGGTGGAAACACAATTAAGTTCAATCTTCAGATCATAATTCCGATTTTTTGTCCTCTATTGCTGTTGTGAACTAGTCTCTTTTCTCTCTACGTAATGTTTGATTTGATATAGGCCAAACATTAACTTGTTCGAACTGAGTGAGGTCCATTTACACATAGTTTTACTACATAATGTAATGGATTTTTTTGACGATAAAAACTTAATTCATTTCATTATTAATAATGTTGATAATACAATGAGGAATATGATGAAAAACAACCGTGAGCTTCCTGCCTAGTAAAAACAACCTCAAAGTTGCTATGACTCTCAAGAATGGCTCTATAGTCCGTGATGAGAGCTCTGTATTCTATTCTGGCCACCTTGTCCGAATGCACATCTTCCACAACTTGTTTCGAATCCATTTCGAAGATAATCTCATCATAGCTAAAATTTGTCATCCAACTCATAGCTTGTCTTAGTCCCCATGCTTCAGCTTCAGACGGAGATAATGCAGCCTTACACTACTCGGTTTTAGCTATTCGAAAGTGACCCTGATAGTCCCTCACACAACAGCCTGTACCTACTCTCTTTCCTTCATAAAAAATGGCAGCGTCCACATTACATTTCAGCTTCCTTCCTGTCGGCGGACTCCATTTAGCGACATTAACAATCCTAGCTACTCTGGACGTATTTCCTTTGCGAGCACTTTCCCAGGCATGTAAAACCTTAGCTCCCCTGTGTATCACTTCCAGCGGCGTATCCCGTCGGCCCTCCCATAACTAGCAATTTCTCCGTCTCCAAATGCTCCACATCGTCATCCCAATCATTTTTAATTTTCATTAGAAAAGCTAGTAAAAATCTCCGAGAAGAAATCAAAGAAAGACTCCGCCCTAGAAGCCACCTCTGACACGGAGTCCCAAAGATGCATTCTTCTCCAGCAATCAACACTCTCTCGACAGGACAAAAAGGTATGCCAATTGTTTTCCGGACTGTCCCCACCTATAATACACAAATATGGAGCTAAATTTAGTAAAGGAATCTTCAATATTTCATCCACATCCCTATATTCGAAAAGTCCCCGAACCATATCTTCTTTCCAAACTCCTTCTTTATTAATTAGTTGACTGACCTTGAGCTGTTCTAAGCCTCTAACACACTGCCATGTGTATGGATCCAAGGATCATCATTATTATGGAGCCACAACTGATCCGAAACTAGAATGTTATCACCTTTTCCAATGCTCCATCGATAGCCCTCTCTCACTAATGCCCGAGCCGTCCAGATACTACGCCAAATAAAACTGAGGTTATGGCCCAAAGCCGCCCCTATAAAATCCCCATGTGGAAAGTACTTAGAGCATCTCCAGTAGAGATGTGAATTACACCCGTTAAAAAATGGACACCTAATCTAAATGCACAGCCCGTGAGGTTGATGTGTAGGCATAAACTATCAAAATTACATGTATTCTCCAACGGAGTCCATCTCAAAATAATATGTTATCTCCAACCACCACTTGATGTGTATGCATAATCTAATCTGCATTTTTATACGGCCCGTGTGATGCCAACTTACGGTAATGCTGACCTGGCTGTGAGACGGGCCTTCTCAAAGTAGACAGTGAGGCGGACGATGTCTCGTTTTATTCCCTTCCAGCTCAGCACCACATTGAATATGCATTTTTCCATTGGAGGGGATAATTGTATCCCATTATGATGTGGCAATGCATTTAATAGCAATCCATTATGCCATTAAAGATGCTCTTAGCCTTTAGAGTGCATGAAACCATAGTATCCGGGTCGGAAAATAATTTCCAACCAAACTTGCCGAGCATGGCGAGATTGAAGCCCTGGAAATGTCTGAAGCCCTAGAAAATAACATTTGTTATTTCTAAAACACAATACGTTTTTAGATTTAGTTAAACTTTCATTTATAAAATTCAAAATTTAAATAAAGTTTTCTACGGTTTGTAAAACAATTCAATTGGTGGTTGAGGTTATTAAAAAAAGAACGAACATAATTTAGATTATTCATAGAGTACTTTAAAATTGACCTGTTATAACATGTTATACCCGGTCATGGGTCATTATTGGCGGGCGGTCTATATATATAGTTTAGATTATACAAAAATAATCAATGGTTTAGATTATTGTTAGCGGATCAAGTATATTTGGGGTTATTATTTTCAACATTTTCTTCTTAAAATTGCCCTTCTATAAAATAATTTGTAAAACTTTATACCGTGCATCGCACGGGCACTATACTAGTTAAAACAAAAACAATACAACCAAATCACGTAATAACATGCTTTAAAGTCATATGGACATATTTTCCACACAATAATTGATTGACATGGACTATATTTGATCCAACAATTTTTAAAATATACAAGATAGTTCAGTAACTATTTAAAAAATCTCATAATAATTTCCATGTAATAATTCTTTACGAAAAAGAACAATACTTTAATATTGGGCAAACACTCTCGCGCATTGCGCGAACAAACGTTAGTATTATAATAAATTTAGAAAGATATGAAAAAGTTAACAATTAGGATGTTTTTACTTGGACTTGAATTTGCTGGTCTGATCTGATATGTTTAAGTCTGATTTTTTCTAGTTTGTTATGGTCTAGTCTGAACTGGTCTGGTCCGATATAGTAAATATCCGGTCTTTATCTATTTTATAAATATGATCTCAACTGTTTAAATATGATCTAATTTGATCTCAAACTGAAAATAATGGAAGTAAAATCTATCCCAAAAAAGTTAAAGATAGATCTTTTGAGCCAAACATAACCTAAATGACTAAATCCCGAATGCACACGTAAGGCTGCAAGTAGCCCAGGAAGAAGTGAGGCAGGAGAGGGATGGGAGTTTGTTGAATGGGCAGTTGCCTCCCTCCAACCTGCGCATGATTTCTCCATTCCCATAGCCGAACCGCCCTTTCATTTACCTTCGTCGCAAACGCATGCAGTAACTTCAACACTCCCTGTCTTGAAACTGAGGAGTGTTGTTATTATTATTATTATTATTATTATTATTATTACTCCGTATTATGAAGTATGTTAAGATCTGTTCCCTTCGTCCTGCTTATGTTGTTAGAACTTTGAATCTCGCGGCTGTGATGATATGGTTTTCTGTGTTTCCTCTTCCTGGGCTGTCTAATTTTGAGGCGTTTGGTTAACCGATCCGTATCTTGGCGGGGCAACTCGGAAACGGAAACGGTTGTTGCAGCCATGGCGGTTTCGGCTCCCATTTCCCTCTAGAAACACAGATCTGAGCCTCTAAAAAGGAAGTGTCTTTTAAATTCAATTCCTCAAAAAACAGAGTCGTATTTAATTTTTCTATGGAGTAGTAGTTTCACCCCTGCATAGGCTCTTCTTTTCTCTGCAATATATGTTTTTTTTTTTCTTTTCAATCTTAACAGATCTGATCATCTGAGGCCTTCCCTGATTTCTTTGAAATCGATCTGCAGTTCTGTATATACCTTTTCTGTGTGTTGTCCGAGTTTTTTTCAAGCCTACACACGTTCATTCTTCTTCAGAGTACGGCCACATCATTATCTTCAACAAATTAATATTTCACGGCAACCTTTTTATCAGAGCATGCTGCATGTAATTAAGTATTGTATTTCCTATAAATTCGCAAGGTTTGGCCAAAATAAAAAGCAACCTTTTCATCCATTAGTTCTCTAACCACTTCGCTGAGTTCATTTGTAAATAAAATGGAGTTGGGTTGTTCCAAAAATGGAGTTAGGCTCTGTAAAAATGGAGCTAGGCTGTTTTTATTTGGACTGAAATTTTTTAGGTTTACTTTGTCAAAGTTGGTTTGAACTGTTTTAGTCCGGTAGATGTATGAAAATTAATTTTTATGTGTGGATTTAGCACGGAGACCGCAAGCATAACGAAATATGAATTTATGTTTATATGTTTAGATTAGATCACTCAGCACTCATATGATAGAGATAAGCAGTACAACGTATAATAAATTTCAACTTTGTATGAATTTATGTTTATATGTTTAAATTTCACAATGTTTTATTTCCTTCACATTCTCTCTCAAATATTCCTGAAGTTCATGCTGCAGTGTGGCCTCCGTGTATTATCATTGCATAATGTGCGAGACAAGTTGCTATATATCTGTATGCTCTTTAGAGAATAGTACTAATAATTTTTATAATACATATCTGATATTTATAGTTGAAATATATTTCATTTTGAGTTAAAGCTTATACTCTTTATAAATTCATAACCACCAAATGTATAGTTTAGACTTATAATTTTTTATCAAGCAATTGCAGAGGCATCACTTTCTTTTCTACACTACATACACTTGAGAATCTCTGGATTATTGAACTCCATGTTGGGGTAGAAGCTGTCTGTAGAAGCTTTGCTGTAAAGGTTGGTGGTGATCTTGCAATATCACCATTCCTGTATATTCTTATACTATTCTGAGATGCCTTTCATTCTGCTGGTCTAAGGGGCGATGATATAAGATATTTAGTCCTACCCATTTATTTTTTGGCAATTGATTGGGAATGGATGATATCTGACCCGTATTTTGGCAGGGCAACACTCAATATCGTGAGCATTGATGTTTGCAGCCATGGCGGCGTCACAAATTCCTTTGGCTAATCATAAGGTTTTTTGGGCCTCTCTTGAAAAATAGTGTGTTGTAATACTGTAATTGTTTAAAAATTCCGACAAGTTGAATATCTGCTATATGTTTAATTATTTATTCTCTTATGTCTGTCTTTTCGTACCAAAAGCTACTCTTAGATTGGTTTAATATCGTGGATAATGAGGCTTTATTTTGGACTCTGAGAGAGGTAAATGAGTTTTATGGGTGGTTGCTCCCTCTCTTTGTTGTTTTTTAAGCCAATGATTATCCCCGAAAACTGTGATCAAGGAGAAGCCCAACAACCCTTGAGGATGATGAGATGATGATGAGATGAACTCTAGCTATAATTGGCCCAAATATTTGATCCGGTCCAATTCATCCGATTTACCATCTCTCAACCAAACGGTCGTACGCTATATTGCTCTCTCCGCTTCCATCTCCTCCC